GACGGCTGTCCATGCCCCGGAGGAACAGGCGCATCCCCGTCCTGGCCAGGGTGTCAGAAAGGTTTTCTGCTGGCCGGGGCTCTGGGACTGAGGACAAGCCAGTGTGTTCTTGCTCCCGCCATGTCCCCTCTGGCCAGAGCCCTCCTAACGCCTGGTTTCTTGATCTGGCTAGTGGGTCCCAATCTGAGCCACCTGAAGGGGAGGCAACTGAGCCCAGCTGGAGCGGCTGGGGCTGGCCCAAGAGCTCAGCTGGCCTGTGGGGCTCTTGCTTGCCTGCGCAGACTGCCGGACAGCCCCTCCCGAGCAAAGCACCTCCAGCCAGCCGGATAAGGCGCCAGCTGGGCTCCGGAGTGTGGCGGGGTGTCCCGCATGGCCACACTCTGAAGCCCCGCCTCTCAGTTCTCAGACGTGCTGCTGTACACGAGTGATAGTGTCCCGGGGGCCGGCCACTTCCGGATCCGGGGCCTCCTTCCACTCCGGGGCATGCTGGTGAGTGTGGCAGGCCAACGTGGCAGGCTGTGGCCTGGGGCTCTGGGCTGCTGCGTGCTGACTCCCTCCCACGGGGGTGAACCCAGTCCCTGTCCAGGGGCCCTGCTTGCCCTTAATGCCAGCCCGCAGCACAGGCGGCCCCAGCCCAAGCAGAGGAGCCATCACAGCACGCACGGCTCAGGGCTGCCTTCTCACCGGGGTGGTGGTGGTGGGGCTCCTGTCGCCAGCTAGTCACAGGCTTTGTGGACGAGGGCTACTGTCGTGGCTCACACTCAGGGTGCCACTCACGTCCTCCTGTGCCCACACGCGGGTCAGGGAAAGCGCAGTGCTGCACCCTCCCCGTGGCCGCTGCTTGGCCTCGGCCTTCATGGCTAGTGCTGGTGGCTGAAGACACTCCTGGGAGGTCAGAGACCGCTTCACACCGGCCTCGGGTGCCCTCGTGTGCTGGGATGCCACGCGTGGGCTCTGCCACAGAGGCGTCACGGCCGTGGTGCACCTGATCGCCATGACTGTGCTCACAGCCCCGCCAGGCTCACCCACAGCTCGTGGCCGGGGGGTCTGATGCCGGGGGGTCTGATGCCGGCCCTGCTGGCCCTCTCGGGCTACGTGTTCTCCCGCTCACAGGCTTTCAAGCCGGGCCGGTGGCGCCCCATTCTAGGAGGGGTCAGACCGAGGCCTGCTCTGCCAGCGGCCACTGGACACAGGCTGGGACCGAAGCGCACTTTCTAAAGTTACGCCTGCCTCACAGAGGAGTCCTGGGGGTGTGAAAGCAAAGTCACTCCCAAGTTCACAGCTAGTAGGGGCTGGCATGGCAACTCGCCCTGCGCCTGCCTGGAGGGCCGCCTTCCGTGCGTGTTGTGCCCCAACCCGGGCACCCCTCCTGCAGCGACAGGCTGGGCGCAACGTCCGTCCCAGGATCACAGACGACACTGGCAGCCCTCTGCCTTTCTCCATGTCCTTCACGCTGTCCCTGAAGTGAATGCCAAAGTGTAGCAGACGGGACAGTGAGTGTGACTTTTTTTCAAGATACTATTTAATTTTATTATCATTACCATTACTTAAATTTGGCTAGAGAGAGAGGGAAAGTGAGAAAGCAAGCCACCAGGTCCAGGACTCAAACTGCAGTCAACCATGTGGGAGTCCAACACCTTAACCACCATACTGCCCCGCTGTCCGCCCCGTTCACCTTGAGCTCAGTGCTGCCCCCTTTGCTTGATTTTCAGCTGATGGTGCTGGACCCTCCGGTAAGTAGCGGTGCCTGGGCGGCAGCTGCCCAGCAGGACCCTGTGCCCCTGTGCCCCTGCAGCCCACAGGCCTTGGACAGCACAGGCTTCCAAGCTGGCAGCCCGTATCAGCCCCGGGCGTAGGCCCAGCCCGTCCTCCCGGGCCCAACACCGCCTCTCTGCCCTGGCAGGTGGAGGAGAGCGAGAGCCAGTGGTCTGTCCCGCACTGCTTCACCATCTACACGGCTCAGAAGACGGTCGTGGTCGCTGCCAGGTATCCGTCCTCAGGAGGCGGGGCTTCCATCAGGCTGAGTGCCCTTAAGTGAGGGTGGCCTGGGCTCTGCTCGGGGGGGCAGACCCTCACAGCAAGGGGGAGATGCCTGGCTGGTAGGGGCCACGCTGGACTCTACCCTGCCCCAGAAGCCATGCGGCCATGCGGGAGGCAGGCCAGACCCCAGCATGGGAGCAGATGTGTCTCTCCCCCAGACCTAGTCGCCACAGAGGTGGCACTGAGCTCACTGGGTGGCCATGGCACAGGCAGTCCAGCCACAACCCCAGCACCTGGCTATGCTGTGAGGGTCCCTCAGTGGGCGCCAGAGAGCACAGGGCACTAGATCCCTGCAGGACTGTCAAGTCAGGCAGCCCTTGTGCCAGCTCAACCCTGCAGAGACCGGGCGAGCCTGGGTCACCGCCTCCCCAGGTCTCTGCTATCCCTGCCCGGGCTGCCGCCTCCCCAGGTCTCTGCTGTCCCTGCCTGGGTCGTAGCCTCCCCAGGTCTCTGCTGTCCCTGCCCGGGTTGCGCAGGGATGGGACAGGTCTTGACCTCTGGCTTTCGCCTGAGGCCAGCACTGAACCCTGGTCCTTGCCCCCAGCACACGGTGGGAGAAGCAGAAGTGGGTGCTGGACCTGAACAACGCCATCCAGGCAGCCAAGAGTGGTGGTGACACGTCCCCAGCACTGCCAGGCAGCACGCATGCCCACCCCTCTAGTGAGTTCTGCCCGAGCCCCTGCCAAGGCCTCCCATGCCCGGGATGCAGCCCTGGAGTCGTCTTCCCGGCTCAGCCCGTCCAAGGGCCCGCGCTCCGGTCCAGGAGGACGGTCATGGCCACACCCTGGGTCCTGTGGCCTCACCGGGGTCCACCTGCTGTCCCAGTACTAGGCCCCCTGCTTCCCAGGGGTGCTGGGGCCCCTTGCCCTGCTCCCGAGCCTGGCCAGCACAGTTCCAGGGACGCTGACGCTGCCAACTTCTCCCAGGACCCACCGATGAGGTCCCTCCAATGCAAGAGTCTGAGGAGGATGCCCTGGGGGCCCGCGGCACCCCAGAGGGACAGAGCCAGCCTCGGGTCAACACCACGATGCATGTGTGCTGGCACCGCAACACCAGCGTGTCCAGGGCGGACCTCGTCGCCGCGGCTGAGGTTCGCTGCCTGCCAGGATGGGGCCCGGGTCCACCAAGAGGCAGGAGGCAGTTGCAGGCCCTGCATCCACCCCAGCCTGCTGAGAAGCCTGGGCAGAGGTGGGGCTTCCGGGCACAGCCCCCGGCCCTGTCACCACACCTGCACCCACGCCTGTGCCCCTCTGTTCCCCAAACGGCCTGGCTGTCCTGCACGGGACACATTCCCCCTCCAAAGCCTGGCCCTCCAGCTGGAGCCTCCACCCAGCCCAGGTGGTCCTGGGGTGGGTCAGGACATGGCTTCTTGCTGGTCCAGGGCACCCCACTCACTTTAGAGACCATGTGGACCTGAGTCCAACTGTGTGACACCAGTGGCAGGCGGCTGGGGAGCTGAGGGACACCAGGCACTAGGACAGGGCTGAGTGGGGCCTTCGGGAGTACGCTGTCTACAGGCCCCTCCTGGCCGCTCGCCGGTTTGGAAGTGGTGGTGTCATCAGCACGCTTGGTGCCCACGGCCAGGCCGGTGACGGAAGCTGCCTGTGGGGTGTGACGTGTTGTGGAACCGCTGCGAGGCTGGGGTGCTGGGAGGGCTGCTTGGGGCTGGGTGGTGGCCAGTGCTCTCACGCTCTGCTTGCAGAACCAGCTCTCGGGGTACCTGCTGAGGAAGTTCAAGAACAGCCACGGCTGGCAGAGGCTGTGGGTGGTCTTCACCAACTTCTGCCTGTTCTTCTACAAAACCCACCAGGTAGGAGGCTCTGAGCCCTACCCCACGCCGAGTCCCGACGGGCCTCCATGGAGGGGGTGCAGGGAGCACTGGAGAGGCTGGGAGGCTGGTGGCAGGGTGGGACCTCCACAAGCCCACGGCACCATCTTCCAGGATGACTACCCCCTGGCCAGCCTCCCGCTGCTGGGCTACCACGTGGGCCTCCCCGGCGAGGCCGACGGCATCCACAAGGACTGTGTCTTCAAGCTGCAGTTCAAGTCCCATGTCTACTTCTTCCGGGCAGACAGCAAGTACACACTGAGCAGGTGAGCCCGCCGCCGGCCCACACAGCACTTGGTCTCCCTGAGGGAGGCACCACCACAGCCGCGTCTACGGGCCCTTGCTCTGACCGTGGCCATCCTGCTGGCTCCCAGGAAGCCATCGGCGGCCCCTGGCCTGACGCACCCTTCCTTCTAGGTGGATGGAGGTGATTGAAGCCAGCAGCTCGCCTGGGCGGCCCCCGGGTGCCACCCAGGATGGTGGTCCACACGCCCTCTCAGGGCTCGAGGAATGAATGAAGCTCGTCCTGCCCAGGGCAGGCTGCGACCTGTGGGGTGTGGGCAGCGGTCTCCCTGTCTCAGCGGCCCTCTAGCACCAGCAGCGTGGGCAGGCCTCATGGCCCTGGTCAGGTGGGGCCCACACTGCCAGGACCCCAGGAGAATACCCACGTCCAGAGCTCGGAGATGACCCTCTCCACAGCAGGATCCCACTGAGGCTGACCTGGAGCCATGCTTAGGCCTGGTGGCAGCCAGGCAGGGGCTTTGGGGACCTGAGAGGGGCAGAGCCCCACTGTCCAGCAGTCCTGCCTTTGGGATGGGGGTGTAAAGGTGGAACTCTGGCAGGACCCTGCCCAGGGCTGTCCTGAAGCACAGCTACATGCGGGTCTAGCAGAACCTCCCTGGTTCCCACCCAAGTCCTCTGCATATGGGTTGGGAGGCCCTACCCCGCACCGGGCACTCCCCACCAGCTGGAGGTAGCGTGGGGTACTCCTGTTTGTATGAAGCTGGAGATAAACCACATCCAACCAGAGGGCCCTCTGCATCACACAGCCAGGCTCAGGGCCCGTGCTGGGACGAGGACTCGAGGCCGTAGGGGACGACCCCCTACAGGAACTGGATGGGCCCAGCCTGTCTCCAAGTCAGGTGTTTATTGAAAGGGGCGAGGCCTTTCAGCGCTCTGTGGACACGCACGCGGCACCACAGTGCTCCAGGAGACAGCAGTTCGGTTTTCTCAGACACATCCTGGGTGACACGAGCACTTACGGGAAGGAACCTGGTTAACGCAGGCCAACCTATGCCCACCCCAGCCGGGCTGCCCGCGAGTCCCCACGGGAAGGTGGGCCGCCCGCTGCGGGGGCAGGAGGGGACATGGGCTGGCACGTAGGCAGCAGGCTGAGGCGTCCTCGCAGTCACCGCACAGCACAGGGCCTCCCACGCCGGCCTGGCTCTCTGCAGCCCTTGGCGTGGCCACGACGCTTCAGCGGGTCGACGTCAGGTGGTTTCTGTTATGTGAAAACCTGCAAGGGGAAGAGCTCGATGCCGCTCTGCCCGGACACGGGCCCTGAGCAGCTCTGGGGGCTGTGACGGGACCCCAACATGCTGGGTGAGGACACCCACGGCATGGGGCCTGGGTCGGGAGCCCAGCACTGTGCACAGCTCCTGGCATCTAAGGCCCCACAGGAAGCCCACCAGTGAGGGGTGGGCCGAGGTTCCGCCCCACCAGACCAGGCCCTGCGAGGCCTGCCCACTAGTCTCTCAAAGCCCAAGTGGACCAGGTCGGAGCAGATACCAACAAGGAGGACCCGCCGCCGCCCGCCACCCGCCAAGGCAAGATGGCAGCAGGGCGCGGCTCGGCCAGCCTCACCGCTGCACGCGTTCCACCAGGTGCACCACGAGCTTGTCTGCAATGCCAGGGCAGGACTCCTCGGCCAGGCTGAAGGCGTTCTCCAGCTCCTGCAGCGCCCCCGCACCGCCACCCTGCTTGTGCTTCTCTCTGAGCTGTGGGGAGCCCTGGTCTGAGCACAGCCCCAGCTCTGCCCAGCTTGGGCAGCCTGTTCCGTTCACGTGTCGGAGGCTGCGGGGCCCTCCGGAGAGCTGCACGTGGCACGGGGCAGGCAGTATGCCCCCCCTGGTCGATGGGAGCCCCCTGCCTTCCCCTACACACAGGGACTCAGGTCTCAAGGAGACCAAGTGGCTTCCTCTCACTGAGGCTCACAAAAGCAATCACAGACCCAGACAGATTTAAACACAGCCTCTGGGACCAGCAGGTGACATGGTGGTTAAGGCGCTAGACTCCTACGTGGCTAACCGTGGTTCGAGTCTAGGACCTGGTGGCTTTCTCTTTCTCTCTCTCTCTCACGAGCACAGGAGCACTACAGCAAATTAACAATAAATAAAAGTCATTAAAAAGTAAAATGCAAAGTAAAAATACCAGCACAAGATCCAGCGGGTAAGTGGTGGTGATGGCACTAGACACCCGCCTCAACAGTGGCTTGAGGCCCAGACCCAGTCACTTGAAAACCACAGTGTGCGTGTGCGTGCACTGCCCAGGACCCCAAAAGAACGGGGGAGAGGGACTGCAGCATGGCCACCCCAGGGATAGTTCTCACTTTCCCTCTTTTCCCAGCAACTGCATGGCCTTAATTACAAACAAACCAACCAAAAAAAGCCCAGAAACTCCCGGAATGCACCGCACAGACACCCCGGTGCCAGTCTTGGCTGGGACCTAGTCACAGACAAAGCACCTCACAGCTGGGGCACTGCCCCCTAGGGGCAAGACCAGAACCAGCCAAGGGTCTGCTGCTGCTCTACCACACAAAGGGAGGTCCCACGTGGTCAGCCTCTGCCCGTGTAATGAAGGGCGTGCTGCCCCCTCCCCAAGCTTCATGTCCAGGATGGTGACAGTCACAGGACCACCAGGGGGTCAGCTACAGACCTCGCTGTCCTGGGACCAACTCCCCAAATCAACAACAAACCATCCCTGCTCCCTCTCTGCACCCGGGCCCTAACCAATTCGCTCTCAAAGCTGTGACAGGCTGGTTCTCATTCAAGCCACGCCGGGACCCTGGCATATCTTGGCAGGTCTCAGAACACAGAAAAGTCAGTTGGACAGTCTGGCTGGTTAGCATTCTTCCTCCCAAGACCCCGGCCTCCAAGCCTAAGCAATGTCTGGCTGGAGACAGACGCTGGCCAGAGGAGCCCTGTACCGAGGGCCAGCCGGCGCACGGCAGCACGAACCCTCACCTCTCCGAAGACAGGCCGGACCAGCGTGGACAGACACTGGGACCGCGGCTGTCTCTTGACGGGCTCCGAGGGCTAAGGGGGAGTGAGACACATGACGATCACAGTGGGCCACCACCCCATTTCTGGCCCCCATGAGGGTCAAGGCCAGTCCCAGTGGGCCCAGCACCCTCTGCCCGCCTTCCCAAGCTCCATGGCACCAATCCTGGGCAGACAGAGCCCCAGAGCCTGCTGTCCCCAGGGCCAAGACAGAGAAGGGACAGACCTTCTGTGAGCCGTGCAGGCCTGACCCCTTGTGCAGCTTGCTGTGTGGACTGGGCCGGATGGTGGGGGGAAACGTCCAGACGGGGCCCTGTTCCCCATCCTCAGCCTCGCCATCGCTGTGGAGGACAACGCGTCACAGCGCTGCAAGGACCGAGGGGTGCCACAGCGGTCCTGTCCTGTGGCTCACGGGGGCATTGGGGACCCCGCCACTGCACCCATGACGATGGGCAGGCCTACATGTCAGAGTCCTCGGAGCTGGACTCTTCACCGTGGCCCTCCGACTTCCAGCGCTTGTAGCGGTCGATGAGCTCGGTGAGGAAGGAGGTCTTCTTGGTGTGGCGTGTGATGAACTTGTGCTTGAGGAGCTCCTTGGCCGTGGGCCGCTGCAGGGCACACGTGTCAGACGCCAGCACAGCCAGGCCCCGCTCACGGGCACACAGGCAGGCCACAGCCGGGGCGGGGGTCCCAGTGTAGGGGGAGGCCATGCCCCACGCCGTGCCACCTGAGCGGATGCCCTATGACCCCCCGAGCCCAGCCGCTAGGGGCCTTACGAATCGTGGGTCCTTGTTGAGGCAGGCCTCCACGAAGTCCTTGAAGGGCTTGCTGTGTTGGCCCTCCAGTGCAGGTGGGCTGTTCTTGGGGATCAGGAACAGGACGCGCATGGGGTGCAGGTCAGAGTTGGGCGGCTCCCCCTTGGCCAGCTCGATGGCTGTGATCCCCAGGGACCAGATGTCGGCCTGGACAGAGTCACGCAGACAGACGCTGTGCAGCAGCCAGCCGCACCACGCCACGCCTGCACGTGTGCCCTACACCCACCTTGAAGTCATAGGCCGACTGCTTGATGACCTCAGGCGCCATCCAGAAGGGGGTGCCCACGAACGTGTTCCTCTTGATCTGGGTGTCCGTGAGCTGCCCCGCCACCCCGAAGTCCGCCAGCTTCACGTCCCCCTGCTCCGAGAGCAGCACGTTGGCAGCTGTTCAACAGAGACGGCAGGCCTCAGCCTCGCTCCTGGCAGGATGGCATCCCGGGCAACACCCGCACGCTGACCGGCACAACTCTGAGCACTGCACGGCCAGTCAGTTCCCCGGGAACGCCCGGCTGCGGCACACACGGGCCACCAGGGCCCCGACTCCAGCAGCAGCCCACGCCCAGAGGTCCGCAGTTCTGGTTTCAGTCAGATCCCGCCCCACCCCAGGGTCCACTGGTTCCGACATCCAGGGTATGGGACCAGGTGGAGGCCGCCAACGCCCACCCTGCTGTGGCCCGGGCCCCCACCTTTGATGTCCCGGTGGATCTTGCGCTCTGAGTGTAGGTAGTCCAGGCCCTTCAGGATCTCGCGCAGGATGGTGGCGATGTAGGCCTCCTCCAGGGGGCCCGGCTTCAGCTGAGGAAGGCGCACATGGGCCTCGGCTGCTGCCCCATGGCCCAGGCCTGTGCTCACCCACCTCACCAACAGGGCAGGTACCCCCGAGGGGTCGGGCTGGTGTTTCCCAACTAAGTCCTGCATGCTGACGCGGTCTGAGGGTGGGGCGGGCTCTCCCTAACCATGCTCCACCTTCACCTGTGAGCCTGACCCATGAGCGCGGGGTCCTGGCCTGTCTGCAGGGACACCGCCCACCCTCTCAAGCTGGCAGGGGTCCAGGACCTCTCTCGGCACCCCCGGGCAGGACCACCCAAGACAGGTGTCTGGGCTGAAAGTTCCTGCTTTGACATCTACATGCTTGGACACTGAAGGCAGGGTGGCCCAGGGGAGCCCGAGCCAAGGCTGGCAGGCCCAGGAGGCACATGCCACCCCCAGGCCAGTTGCCCGCGTGGGAATACGCCTCACCAGGTCCAGCGCAGAGCCGCCGCCCAGGTACTCCATGATAATCCACAGCTTGGTGCTCTGGGGCCAGAGAGACGCGTCAGCACCGGGCCGAGGGCAACCACACAGCGCCGTGCTGGGCCCCACAGCAAAGGCCAGCGTCTCCCAGGGCCCCAGCACAGGGCAGAGCAGAGGGAAGCCCCTCACCAGCACCCAGTCCCTGGGCCAGAAGACGGCACGCCCAGTCAGCACAAGACCGGCACCAGCATTCCCCCAACAGGCCTCCCCCACCCCTGTGGTGACCACTGCCAGGACACGGCCAGACAGGACTGGGCACTGGGCTCCACCTGCAGCCCCGCCGCATGCTCCCAGCAGTGCCCATGGCAACCTCCAGGCGCGGGCACTGCCCCGGACACCATGGCCACCCTCGGGAGACCACACGTCTGCCCGGCCGTCACTTCCTGGAGGCCTGCTGTGTCCCGAGGCGGGGAGACGCCCTTGCACCCAGCCCACGGAGATCCGGCCGGCAGCACCTTCAGGTAGGAGCCGAAGTAGCGGGTGACGTAGGGGCTGTCGCACTGGCTGAGCACGGTGATCTCCTGCTGGATGTCCTCGATCTCGTCCTCCGCCTCCTCCAGGTCGATGATCTTGATGGCCACCACCTCCTTGGTGTGGTTGTCGATGCCCTTGTATACCTCCCCGAACGAGCCCTTGCCGATGCGGTCGAGCTTGGTGAAGAGCTCCTCAGGGTCCACTCGGGAATGCTGCAGGGGCAGGGGTAAGGGCGGAGAGCAGGTGGCGTGGTCGGGGGCAGCCAGGAGCCCAAGGACACCCCGGTGCTTTTCTGGTCTCTTCCAGTCCTGTGCTCAGAGACCCAGAACGTAACCCTGCACACCAGGAGAAAGGCCCTCGGCCAGCTCTGGTGGGCGCAGAACCACCTGGATACCCAGGAAGGCTAAGGGCCGTACTTAGGGACTTTAGTTTTTCTGTGAATCGAAATGACTACAGTAATCTCTACTGGGCCACTGGCGACATGGTGGTGAAGGCAGCTACGGCCCACATGGCCGACCGCAGTGGGAGTCCCAGACGGGCTGGTACCCAGAACCCCAAGAGAAGGGGTGCAGCAAGGCTGCCGGGTGCTTTCTCACTCCTAGCCTTTGTGAGGGCACACGCCCTATAGCAGAACTTAAAACGAAGCTCCAGTTAGAAACAAAGACCCAGCCTGTGTCATCCAAGTCCTCCTGCACTCCTGAAAGCACACCCCTAGAAAGGGCACCCCAGGGGTCAGCACTGAAAATGGAGCCCTGGGTTAAGCAGACAGCTGCCCCAGTCACCAACCAGTGTGGAAGGGGCCGCCTGGCCCGGGGCACACTGCGTCAGTAGGGAGCCGCCGGGATGACGGCCTCTGCAGGACAGCAACACTAGGGTGCCCACCCTCACCCTGCCTGGAGGGGTCCTGGCTCCTAAGGACGCCCTGCTCCCCCCAAGCACCACCCACTGTGTGCTCAGAAACCCATCCCTCCACCCCATGGGCCCAGTAACGAGGGTGGAGAGCGCCCCAGTCAAGCTCCTGGAGGGCAGGGGGCTGGTCTAGGTTCTAGGTGCCAGAGGAAAGTGGTCTCCCTAGCATGGGGACAGGCCCCACCCAGAGGTGGTCCCCACCACAGCAGGGTCCTGGCTGTGCTGAGCAGAGCCTAGAGGGGAGGGGCCGTGCTGGAGATCGCTGCTGCCCTGGGGTGGATGGCGCTCCGCACTCCGGCAGGAGCTGCACCGCCTGGGCTCACCCCGTGGACACTTCACCTGGTCAGCGGAGCACCCGTCCTGAATCCGGCTGGACATCACTCTAGTCTGAGGCTAATCTCAACCCAAAGGTGCGGGCGGATCAGATCAGCTGCCTCCCCCGGGCCCGAGGTGGGGCTGAGGGGCACAGAGCAGCCCTGGAGGGCAAAGGGACACTGGGGAAGGCGGGACAGGGCCTCTCACCAGAGCCAGGGTTGGCTCTGCAAGGCCTTGGGTGCTGTTCACACAGACACCAGCTCAACAGGGAAGCGAGTGGCAGGGACCAGCCAACAGTGACCTGCTCACTCCCTTCCCAGAACCACGGCCAGAGAGGGTAGCAGGGGAGACGAGCGGAGCCAGGGACTCAGGAGACAGGCATGTCCAGGCTCCGGTTACCGCACCCAAGAGGAAGGCCACTAGGCCAAGCGCCCACCTGCTCCGGTCAGCTTGGAACCCCCTCCCAGGCGCAAGTGCACATCCGCCTTCCTGGGTGGGGAGCCGCTCCGCCCGCAGGTGCCCGCAGGTGCTGGACGGGTCTGAGAGCACCCTGCTGCCCCTCCCCACCAGGCCCACACCTGCCCAGTGCCCTGGGCCTCAGCCCCCCTTCCAGCATAGCCCTGCAATGGCAGAGCTGTCCAGGTGACTCCAGGGCAAGCCGGTGCCCGAGCTCATGCCCTCCCATCGCTCTGAGAACACGGGCCACTGTCAGCCCAGGCCTGACGCCTCGCCCAGCACGAGGGGGTCCCCTTCTGGCTCTCAGGGGTCCCCCTCCCACTCCTTAAGCCTCCACTGAGGACAAAGGGCACTCCTGTCCACAGGGGGTGGGAGGCAGGCCTGGCCCCCCAGCAGTCTTGACAGTGCCCACCCTCCTCAGGTGCCCAGGGCCTCAGGCAGCTGCCGGAGCAAACACCCTCCTGGCTGTGACCCTGGGCCTAGAGTAGGTCGCAGGGGCAACCTGCACCCAGCCCGCCACCGGGCACCAGAGCACCTAGGAGCTCCCAGGAGCTCCCAGGCCCCAGGCTACAGGCTCCTGGCAGGACTGGGGCCTGGGGCCCACTGGCTCAGCGAGACCCCTGCTCTCTACACCAGCCAGCCCAGGTCTGCTGGGAGGTGGCCGAAGAGACAAGGGGTGTCACCTGCGTGGCCCTGCCAGGCACCCTGTGGGCCCATGGGACACTGTGGCTGTGGCCACTCTCAGGAAAAACGACTGCTGTAGTTTCCCGCCACAGACGAGGCCAGAGCCCTCGCTGTCCAGGCGGCCCAAGGGCCCTGAAAGACCGGGAGGGCGCTCCCTGCACGGACCCAGCTGCTGAGCCGCTCCCGCAGCTCTTCGCGCACGCCGACCCACACCAACATCCCGGGCAATGGGAAGCCCGTTAGTCCATGCACCATCCTGCCCAACCTGCTGCGGCCGCCGGGACCCTCCTGGAGGCGACTCCAACTGGGCGGACGCGCTTCCCTTCGGTCCTCCAGGATCAGCTCAGAGAAGGGGCAGGGAAGTGGCCACGGTGCTTCCAACACGCAGCTCGCAGCTCGGTCGGGAGGGCAAAGGCCAACCGGGGCACTCGATTCCAAAGGCATGGGTGGGACGGACAGCGCCCTGGCCCCGGCCCGGGGTCCCTCCTGCCCGCAGGGCCCTCCGAGCAGCC